TTTAAGCGTGAATAAAATAGTAAAAAAACTCTCTATCGTATAAAGGTTGCAATAAATTATTTACCTACTTTCGCAAATCTTTCTGCCGCCAAACATAAATTCTCTACATAAAGTCCCCTTGTAGTTTCATTGAATTTGGCAATTCCTGCCATTACATGAATCCTGTAAATGTTTAACTTTTTAGAAAATTAAATGATACTTTAAACAATGAACTACTGCCCTGACTTAAAACTGCTCCAAAAACAAGATACACTTAACTACGCAATACGAACAACATCTCAGTTTTCCTTTAAAAAACCTACCACATATGTTTGCAAGACAGTGGTTAAGTTTTTCAGCATTCTTTTTTCAACTTTCGTTTTACTTGTTATTGCCGTATAATCAGTTTAGAAACTTTCCAAAACAGTTTAAACTGAACAAAGACTTGCTACTACTGCAAAGAATCATAACTGCACCTTAACACTGGACTATTCACTTACTGAACTTTACGGAATAATAGCCAGTATCAAATATGGTTGTTCTTTTGACAATGTCTTATTCATTAACTTTTTACATCCAAGGGTGTTTGCATAACGAACAGCCGTCTCAATACTTTCCGCAAATTCAGCTTTATGCTCAGCCAAACATGCAATCCCTCGAAATCCTTTGTTCATATCTCCTGTAACTGGCATATACTTAACTAGATGACTCTAGTAGATGATGTCACGATATGGTCAGTTTTGAAACAAAAAACATCAAAATTATCTGAATCATAAAGATGGTCTTTATCTACAAACATTGATGCCACGTATAAATGCGAAGGCATGGAGATATGAAAAAATATACAACAAGTAACCTCCTAACGAGTCAATTCAGACATAAATTTCCTTGCTTTTATTGCTAAACCACAAATGTAAAAAAAAAAAAAATGACATCCACACCTTTTTTTTAACTGATAAAGTTGACCTTTGACGGGGAAGTGATAATAAATCACAGGGAGAAGAATGGCATTTGAGCAGTATTATACAATGATATTCGAAAGTTAATAATTAAACAAAGGGTTTTACCCAAGTTTTAATCTTCTTTCAAAACCATTCAACAATTTGAGAAAGTTCAGAAGAAGGTCTAGTCAACCTAAAAGTTCCATTTATCACAAACAGAAAGTCAGCCAACCTGTAGGGGCATTAATCAAGATATGTTGCAGATGATATCTGTCAGCCTCGCTCCGCAGTTCTTCTGCAGAAACCGAGTAAGGGAATGAAACTTCAACGCATTTGAATCCCAGTGAAGCTGCTTTTTCATATCTGTAGAAAAAAAAATTTGTGTCAGTTTATGAGTTCTTCTCTCTAAACTTAAAAAAAAATGTATAAAAAAATAAATTAAGTATCAATAACAAACTTTCGGATGTCAACAGTGAGAAAGAATTTAAAAAAAAAAAAAGAAACCTTTTCAGCAGTTCAACTTTTTGAAACATAGTTGAAAGATTTGCTGCAACTCTCATACTGCTTTGAAGAGGAGAAAGTTAACTTTCTTAAAACAGAACGTGGAGTCTGCGGGAAAGTAACATAGATTCCGAAACGCAGTATACATATTTTAAAAAAATACAGCGAACATTGCATTTACTTTCCTTCCACTGCAGGTCATTATCCCATACATATATTACATCTAACAATCATAGCTTAATATATGGATTTAGAGAGGGAATAACAAAGATAAGCAGAAGAAGTAGAATGTTCTCAAATAAAATCTGTCAAGTAACAAAGAAAATAAAAGCTATAAAATTTGCTATGAAGTAAAAAATGATTTTTAAGCAATAAAAACTGATTATAAGATTGAAAAATGCCCTTTATTTACGAACAGAAAAAACTAAAGTTGTTGTCAGCGGTGAAAGATTATTTCTGACCGTTATTTCTGACCCTTTCTGTGAACATTTAAAATGAGTTGACATTATTAATACTTAATTTGAAAAGTTAAAAGAAGAAAAAAATTTTTTTCCGTATATTCCTCGCTAACGTGAAAAAGTCTCACCGGTTGGCCGATACACAAGACACCCGCAACAAACTAACAAAAAAAGAGTTTTCTTACTTTCTAAGAAATATCGCCTCTGTAAAAAAAACGTTGTAAAAAATTCTGCACGAAGACCTAACGAACTTTAAGCCATAACTGACCACCGACAAATGTACATTGACCAACTGCAAAAGGACTTCTCTAACACTCAAAATCCTTAAATTTCATAGTGGAGGTATCTATTTGGTGCTTTTTCTATATCGACACCCCAACGCGTCATACTTGGCATTTAGATCGGACTTGGAAATGACGTGCTGTCAAAGAACTTCAAAAACAAAAGTCGCAACAACGAAGTGCCTACAGCTGGAAATTGCACGTTGGCAACTATTAGTGTTCAGACTTACTGCCACAGAATTGATCAATTCATCTGCTACAGCACAAAAGCGACATCGTTCTTATATGTGCTCAGTGCTCAGCTAGAATAACCAAATCCGAATCAACTGTTAACGAGAACGTGCAATCAAAATATTACCTTATGCAATCAGACGTTTGAAAATCGCCTAACAATTAATGACATTTTTGTTCAATTTGAATATAAATTAACGATCAGGAACAATAACAGAAACTTGGAAATAGACCTGACTGTCTTTTGAACAGATTTGTTGAACGTTTGCGTTGTAATAAAACTACAATCCTTTTCTTTTACTTCTTAAAAAATGTGATAGGAAGCACAAAAAAAATTTACTTTTTTTTAAAAAACACTAAGTGAAATGCTCCAAAGGTGACCTGAAGCTAAAGGCAGGTGCATGGACAGAAGAAATAAAGCCTGAGTTTTAATACTTTAAATTGAGTTCTGTGGGTTTCTTGGTTGTTTTGACAAACAATTTACAGAAAGTCATAACGGAGGGCAAAAGGCTAAGGTCTAGGCTTTGGTGTTTTTTGGAGTTATTGGTTTGCCTGTACAGCGAGCTCTGTTTGACAGTATTATTTATCCGACATAAGCAGAATAAGTTTTTATTTTTTGCAAAAGTATGAAGCCATGAAATTTCGAAATGTTCCAAACAGGACCTATATTCGAGGTTATGATCTAGATTTCCAAATTAAAAGTAAAAGAAAATTTTTTTTTCTATTTTTAAGACATAAAGGTAATCTTTTTAAGCGGAAAATTTTTGTTGAAGCAAGAGCTTAAATGATCATTTAAGCTTTTTTATCCCTCATTAACCGTTGGTTGAAAAAAAAAAATAAAATAGAGTAATTCATCTTCATACATCCAACTTACTTCGACTACGGTTTTGACGTTAGGATCTCTTTAAACTGAAAAATTTTTTGGAATAACACTTCAAAAGCGTATTGGGGTCGAGATGGTACTAATTATAACAGTTAATTTATGGCTTTATAACAATATTAATCTATTAGTGCCAATGAATTATTTCATAATTTTCGCTGTATAGCACGACTGTCAACAACTCCAGTCGTATAGTTTATGATGGTTTGAAGTTACTATCAAAAACTTTTTTCTTTAAGTAAAACTTGGTGCACAAAAAGATAGCTTAATATTTGTTTAAAAGTCCCGTTATTTCTTGTACCCGTTGATTTGACATCATTTCTAAACCGCTCAAGTTTCTACCTGTTATCGGACGGCAGCTGAAAATGAGGCCTTTCTGGGAGAATCGCAGTGATCCCAGTTTAACGAGTTGATGCGAAGTAAACAGTTTAGTAGATGTCGTTTAAATGGTCTACTAGTATAACAGTATTGTTCAGTTTTGAAAATGGTGGTCAGATACATGCACTGCTTGTTTTGAATTACCAAGCTGTCAAATAACAAAACGCTACCTGTGATAGTTGGAACAGTTATTTCAAGTATTCTGTGATTTTTTCAAAATTTTTTAGTTTTATTTCCTGCGTTGAAGGCAGCCTACGTAATCTGCAGTTTTGCTAGTTTGATGTCTCTACTTTTTTTTTTGCCTGCTGGAGATTTACACTAAAAAAAAAAATATTGGGACCAGTTTTTGAAGAAGTTGGGTATATTATATCTAGCAGTATTCAAAGTTGACTTTGTAGGAACATTTGTAGTTTAGTCGTCTATCATGACCAAGATTCGAGAATTTGCTAGTCTACGTATTTTTATTTTTAGGGCTAATAATTTAACTTTACCTTTTTTCAAGTAACAAGAAAAGTGGCGACACCTAAAACTGTCGCTGCTGCGTCAACATATTGAACTTTTCTGTCGTTGAGCATGGGAGGTCGCTCTATTGGGAGGCCAAAATTTACCTCTTTTCCTTTTTCTTTTACGACAAACAATGGTTGTGCGAAGATCATAAAATAATCAAATATTTAAGGTCCTCAAGGACGGTTTTTAGTAATTAACTACTTGAAGGTTAATGAACTGAAACAGCATTATTCATGTAGCAACCGTGAGGAAGAGGACTCAGCCACCAGTGTACCACTTTCATCCTTTTTGAAATTCACAGTTTGATCTAAGGTTTAGCAATTACTTCTGCTTGTCTAAAGTGGTGGTTTTGCTCTCCATAAAAGGGTCACTGAAACGAGTGATGAATGCTCTGGAATTACTGCCGCAAAGAGGAAAGGGATATATGCTGAATATTTTTGAGCCACCTTTTTGGTCTAAAATGTAAATTTTGCTTTATCGTTTTATTAGTACAATAAATTTCTTTAGACAGAGACTCCAGATGAAGAATGAGAATCGACTAAAAACCTTGTTACTCTGTTTTTGGTTCTCTTTAGCTAGGTATTATTGAAGTATTTGAAAGTTACTGTTTACCTTTAATATTCGGTGATACTTTGTCAAGAGGAAACGAAATAAAGTTTTGCTTTAAAAAAACTTGTGTAACATTAAATGAGGTTTAGTAATTTAATTACATAATTTTTGTTTATATAATGCCAAATTTCAAGATGAAAAAATTACAAATTTAAACAAGTTTAATTTTATTAAGATTAATGTAATAAAAAAAAATATTTTCTGTATCAAAACAAGAAATTGATGCGAGCAGTGCAGAAATTGGATACAGAAGTCAACTTCCAAAAATTTTCAAGCAGGAAACTTTTGTTACCGTTTATAATTCCCTTTTCTTTTTATTTTGAACTTGTTAGTTCTTTTTTTTAGTAAGCAATTACTGTTTTTTATGGTTTACATCAATAAATATCCTTACTTTTCATACGATATTTGATAAAATTTTATAATCAGTCACGGTTGGGAGGAGAAAAATATGAAAAAGAGCTTTTCTTTGCAGTAGACAAATGCACTGAGCGAAATATGGTTTTTGCTCAGTTTACTTAATTCTTGTCATAAAATTCATATTTGCTTCAGCTTGAATCATTAGTCCTTTTGAACGAACTGCGTTGTTTATATATTACAGGAAACAGAAAAACTGAATTGCTTCAGCTTTTGTTTTCCTCTTAACACGACAATTGTATTATACAAAAGTGAAACAACAATAATTTTATGTTCTCGACCAGGCAATGGTTTATACGTTGTCAACAGGAAGTCTACAACAAGTGCCTTATTCAGAATTGAGCTTCTGGGCCAGGAAAGTGGCCAGGTTTTGCAATGATCAATGGGTCTTTTCTGCTTATCGAGTTATTTCAGTGGAAATGTTAGCAACGATAAGATACAGATACGAAGCATCAAAAAAGAAGAACAAACTGGGTAACGAACCGGGCTGCAAATAATTTGGAGTTCCATTTTCTTAAGAGATAACTTGGCTATTGAACGTTTAAGTAAGCTCTTTTATCTTACAAAGAGAGTAAGTTCAACAAATTTTTATCAAAATAACATCAGCAGTCAGCTTGGTAAGCTCAATTAAAAAATGCTCTGTCAAAAATCTTGGCGTAAAGACTGGTCATTCAGAGTAGTTTTATTTAGTTCAATAAGTATCACCTTAACGTATAACGACTAAAAAATGAAACGTTGCTGCAAAGTTGAAATCTTTTCTCTAGAAGACTCAAACTACTGTTCAGGTTACGTAGGCTGCCATAAGTTTCAGTTTGAACAACAGCCTTATTGTCCAGGAAAATTTATAGCATGACTTGAATATATTGTTGCGGTTTATAATCATTATCATTTTGAAATCAAAAATTTAATCTTGATTAAATATATTGAAAATGTGATGAGGAAGAGGAAAAAGAAGGAAGAAAGCAAAAGAAGCAGTTGTGTAACGAAAGCACGTTACGATTAGGAATTTGTTTTATCTTAGTTAATAATAGCATCAACTCTCTGCGCAAATTTTATATTTGCAATTCAGATTTTGAAAGATGATTGAAAGGTTGTACTTACATAAACTTTTCTTTTTTTCCCTCGGGTTTTATAGAAAAAAAAAACATACTTCCAAAAAATTTCTGACAACTTTGACTGTCCAAGTAGTGCAAGTGTTTCCAAAAAAAAAAAAAAAAA